CTTATGGGCATATGTAGGCTTTTTACACATTGGTGCCAAATGCTTGGCCTCAAAGGGCGCTTAGTGATGCTTCCAAGTGAGTTCTGCAAAGCCAGTCAGAGCACAGCCTAGAGCTACAAGGGAGCTACATCATCCTGAATCCATGTGCTGTAAGTCCTGTAAACAAGAGCAGATGTGACCACTTTGCTGGACAGTAGTGTGTCTGGATAGTCATATTTACAGGTTGGGTACGTGGGCAACCAAGTGTACTTTCATTTATGATTAGTGCAATGATATCATTAAGTATCATCTACCCAACCCTTAAATCTTAACAGCAGGTCATTGCAAAAAAATGAGGTTCTAAAGTTAGATCTCACCGTACCAGCATGAAGTGAATAGCCGAACAGCGTTCGGCTCACTTCGCTTCAGGTCGGTCGTTCACTTGGCTGCCTACGGCAGCTTAGTGAATAGACCCCTAAGGAGGAATGAGGATTTGGTGCCAAAAAAGGGAAAGTCCCTCTAAAAATGGACAGTTGAGAGGTATGCAGACATCACCCCCAAGGTAGCTGATGATGCCCAGTGTGTGTCTGCAGCAATCCCAAGAAAAGAACAATGGCAGCTTCTCTGATTAGTTTGAATCTAGCAAAAAAAAAGGTGAAAGGTACACATGGGCAGAGCGATATACAAAATAATAAAAACATTGCGCAGAACACTTTCAAGCAAGACAAGTGGTGACCCTGCTTTTAGTATGTACGTTGCTATATACCGTATGTCCCATAGTTGGGAACTCAAATAGTTTCGAGTTATTGACCACACTTTTAAGAGGTGCGTTGATGCAGCAATGTGGCTATACATGTATTTGCAAATGTATGCAATTTGATGTAAGTTTTTTCAGCCTGAGGTACTGACGCAGACGCAGTTATTATATTACTGCATATTCATCACATATAATAATATCTAGTTGGACATTAATCATCTGTGGGTGTTATTGTTCGAGGGGAGACATGAAAGCCATGAGCAGACAAGGCCTTATGGGCATATGTAGGCTTTTTACACATTGGTGCCAAATGCTTGGCCTCAAAGGGCGCTTAGTGATGCTTCCAAGTGAGTTCTGCAAAGCCAGTCAGAGCACAGCCTAGAGCTACAAGGGAGCTACATCATCCTGAATCCATGTGCTGTAAGTCCTGTAAACAAGAGCAGATGTGACCACTTTGCTGGACAGTAGTGTGTCTGGATAGTCATATTTACAGGTTGGGTACGTGGGCAACCAAGTGTACTTTCATTTATGATTAGTGCAATGATATCATTAAGTATCATCTACCCAACCCTTAAATCTTAACAGCAGGTCATTGCAAAAAAATGAGGTTCTAAAGTTAGATCTCCAGTGGCCCTTCTCCCCATTCAAGCGCTGCAGTCTCCATAAGACTCTTCAGCATTCAACACTTCTTGGAGTGTCTAATGCCTGTGTCCCCTGCCATGTGCTGAAGTTCCATAGCCAAGCCCTTTGTCACTGCTGTATCCTATAGTGATATAAGTATCAGAGGATGGAACCACAGCCCGCAGCAGGGGACACCAACATCTAACACTCCTGAAAGTGTTGAATTCTAAGTCTTATGGAGGCTGCAGCAAATAAATTGAATTAAGGTATGACACACAGACTACCGCAGAGGTAAACATAATACCTCTTCTTTTGCTACTGCTATGCGGCCTAGGGATGGGAAAGGACCCCATCAGAGGGCTTTTGAGGCAATTTAAATAAGAGAAAATCTATGTGCATGTGAAAATATTAAGTACTGTATCATAAAGGACTGCAGGGGTTACTGTGGACACTGATTCTGTACTCCCTGTGATGTTTCTGGTCCGATGTCAGTCATACGTAAGAATTATTGTTGCTAGTCACAGATAATCTTTGCAGGCTGTGCATTAAGAAGAATCTGTTTAAATGACTTAGTAGTGTAGTGGTGTAGATTTATTTCCAGAGCTTCTGGTCATCCCAGCCAGCACTGAAAGGAACACTGTATGCCTAACACAATCTTCGGCAGCTAAACACTAGCAAGATTGTAGTTCTGTAAAACAAAAAAAGTTTAAAGTTTGTATTGAGTTTATAGAGTAATTGTGTGCAGGGGTAATAGGAATTACGTTATAATATTTAATATTGTGATGGTCATTATTATTGCTGCTACAACTCTTTGTATGTTTAACTTAATGCTAGACCACCTCTTTAAGCACTTGCTTTCTGTGGCAGTGGATGGGGTGGGAGGGCTTAGAATTTACACTACGACGGTCCTGAGATCTGAGATGCTGAAAAAGACTGGGAAACTACTGAGGACAGAGCAGTTAGCTGGAAAATGAATGTTTAAATGTAATTCCCTGCACTGAGGTCTCTCTCTTCCCTGACAACTTCAGCATACACCACTGCTCACTACAAGTGTACTGACTATGCTGACAGCTCTCTGGCTACCTGTCCTAAATTTAGATATACTTTATAATAATATTGATATTATAATACTATCAGTGGCAATAGACAGGTTACCGGGGGCCCATGTTCTATGACCACATTGGTGGTCAGTGGCAGTGTTATTTAACCTCCCACATTAGTGGTCAGTAGAATCGTTGTTAACCCCCTCTGCCCCCTGCATAGTACAGAGCTACATGTAAATTAAGCTTTTTCTGTCCCATTTTGGGATATCAAAGGTGGCATTATATGTTATTACCAAAACAAAAATTACAGAAGTGAAAATGTATTAGTATTCTTATTTTCCTGTGGTTATGTTAGAATTGTCTAAACATAACGTCATTACACTCACTCCCACTCCTCCATTCTTGATACACTAAGATAGCTAAGCATATAACAGAATTGAACTCCCTTGTGGCCACCACTTGGTAATTATTAAATCTGAGTGGACATGCTTGCACTGGTTACGTGGCTAATGCCAAAGATAAGAGTGAGGCATCATGTGACACATACCCCCCACCAATCGTTCCACAAAAGTTCGGATTCAAGCGATTACATTTCTGAGTAGTGTGATGCATCAATTACAATGCTGAGTAGTGTGTTGCAATAATTGCTGAGTAGTGTGTTGCATTAATTGTACCATTTTCTGGCTGAATTAGCGGTGCATCCATTCTTTCTCTCCTCCCCGCTGGGCACAGCTCTGACTCCCAGTGGGGAGGAAAGAAACTGTCACAGGAGGCCGAGCACTGCGAGAAGAGAGCGCGGTGAGCGGCCAGCATCTCTCCTCCCCGCTGCCTCATGTCACAGATCGGGAGAGCGGTGTGGGGCAGAGACAGCCATTGCTGTCACAGGAGGCTTAGCTCTCCTCCCGCACTGCCCCACCCAGCCTCCTGAGACAACCAATCCAGGATGGAGAGCGGCGGTGTGGGTGGATACAGCTTTCAATGCTGTCATAGGAGGCTGAGCTCTCCTCCTGCACCACCCCACCCAGCCTCCTGTGACAGCTGTCAGTATAGTGAGTGGGTACATGCAGTCAGTGATCAGTGATCACTGACTGTTTGTAAATAATTGAGGACATAGTATGTTTACTATAGCCTCAATTATGAATGAATGGGAAGTGATCTACATCACTTCCTGTTCGTTCATGATTGTGGATATATTAAAAATACTCTGTCCTCAAGATATGAATGAACAGGACCACTCAGTATACAGGATTCCTGTTCATTTATAACAAGGGCTGCAGAAAAAAGAGATTGAGGACTTTGTGTCCTCAACCTCTTTTTCTATTTTAAAAGGAAATATCAGGAGTCTGTTTAGACCCCCAATATTTCCCCAAAAGGTCCTAAAAGTAAAGTAAAAAATAAAAATATTTAACAGAAATGAATAAATAAATAAAAATAAAATATTTTTTTAAAATGTTAAAAAGCTAGAATAAAAAACATTTTTGGTTTCGGTTTTGGCCTGACATTTTTTTAAATTTTGGTTTTGTTTCAGTTTTTACATTTTCATTTCGGTACACCTCTAAATAATTGCATAGCTGAGTAGTGTGTTGCATTAATTGCATTGCTGAGTAGTGTGTTGCATTAATTGCTGAGTAGTGTGTCACAGGAATTACATTGCTTAGTAGTCATTTGCATTAATTACTGAGTAGTGGGTTGCATTAAATGCACTGCTGAGTAATATGTTGTATCAATTGATGAGTAGTGTTTTGCATTGCAGAGTAGTGTGTTGCATTAATTGCCGAGTAGTGTGTCGCATTAATTGCATTGCTGAGTAGTGTCACATTAATTGCTGAGTAGTGTGTTGTATTAATTGCTGAGTAGTGTGTTGCATTAATTGCTGAATAGTGCATTGCATTAATTGCTGAGTAGTGTGTTGCATTAATTGCTAGCGTGTTGCATTAATTGCATTGCTGAGTAGTGTGTTGTATTAATTGCTGAGGAGTGTGTTGCATTAATTGCATTGCTGAGTAGTGTGTTGTATTAATTACTGAGTAGCGTGTTGCATTAATTGCATTGCTGAGTAGTGTGTTGCATTAATTGCTAAGTAGCGTGTTGCATTAATTGCATTGCTGAGTAGTGTGTTGTATTAATTGATGAGTAGTGTGTCGCATTCATTGCATTGCTGAGTAGTGTGTTGCATTAATTGCATTGCTCAGTAGTATGTTGCATTAATGATTCTACATCTGACCACTTAAACGCTTATTAAACAATCAGAAGAGCTTTTGGCTGAATAAAAGGCGGATAATACACGCTTTTCTCACATTCGCGTCTGTGTCCTCTTTCCTTTCACCCCAAATAATCCCAGTGTGCTGTGGAGTGTCAGGGCAGAGAGCAGAGTGTGCAGTGCATGCCCCTCCTCCACTCTGTGTCATGCAATGGGAGAGCAGGCTGATCTGCCTTCCTGTCTGTGTCTAGCTGGGACTCTACATGCTCCCTGTGTGCGGCGCTCCCCTAGTCCATAGCGCTGTGCGAGCGATGCTGCTTCATCTGGCGCGGCACGGCGCTGTGTAGGTCCAGCGGAGCCCCGGCGTCTTCCTTGCTGAGCGCACCACAGCCGCTCCATCATGAGTAAAAGCCAAGATGCCTGCAAACCTCTGTCCTTAAACTTCACCATCGACAGTATCCTGAAGTTAAAGTCCAGCAAGCCGCAGAGAGACTTCATTGAGAGGTCCATAGATGACAGCAGAGAGCTGCGCAAACACTCAGCGGAGCCAGATGAGGAGCAAAGGGCGATAGAAGACAAGAGGAACCCCTTATTAACTGCACAAGGTACATATCTGACCTAACCCCTAATATTATTGTAGAAAATATGAAGGAGGTGCTGCCAGGTTCCTTCTATAGGAGCAGGGAGCACATTCAGCTCAATTAACGCATTACCGTGCGTTAAATACTTCTGCATCACACCGATTCTTGTATACACAGGTGCTGTCAGCGACGTCTGCATCATAGTGTGCTATAAGGTCTTCTACAGTCACTGTACATACAATATAAAAGCTTATATAACGATATATCCTTATATAATACTTTACTCCCACCATTTATCTATTATTCTTCTATATTGTCATAAATTATAACTTATGTTTGCAGTTAATTTTATGCCACGACCATGCCTCTGTCAGTTCAATGCAATGCCCGCTTATTTATTAGCAGGACATGTAAACATATAAAGTATATCTATACTTGTGTGTTGTATGCTGTATAAAGTTTATAAAAGGTTTGCTTTTACATTGCTTTAATTGTAATTGTGTAGATTTGATTAATTTGAGGTTGTAATCTTACTGGAGATATACCAGATATGACTTCTTTGTGACAACAAGCATCCCCTAATTTTATGATTTACAAGTTGTTGTCCTGAGCTGAGATTACAGCTGCTGATAATGTAATCCACAATGTCATGGTCTCATCTCCCCGGCAGCTATCGGGTTAACTTTGGTGTCCCCAGGACAGAGCATCTGACGGCTGGGAATCAGTACAGCTGGGCCCCGGAATATAGGACCATATATACTAATAACCATATGGGGGACTCTCACCCTGTACACTAATCCTGGATTAGCCAGCCTGCGGCCCTACAGCTGCTGGGGAACTACTGGTCCCAGCTCAAGCAGGCTGAGCTCATAAACCTCAGGTCAGCACAGAGTGTAAAATATTGAACATGGACCCAACTCCTTGAACTAGAACTCTATAGTAATTCATTATAATTGTATTAACTGGTCTCTGTGTTCTAAAATTGATCGCGAAAATGGATCGGCTTGGATAATGTTATATCTATAGTGTTACTGTAAATGGAAATAATGCAGCTGGCACCGTGTAAGATACCATGCCGCTTCTTATATCCTTCTCTTCATATCCTTATTTATATCCGTATATTTCAAGAGTTAAAATGAGTGTTTGTATTGAGATTTCTTATGAAGTTCCTATGTTCTGCGGAGGTTTCAGAGGTCCACTATTGTGGAAGCTATTCTGGTAACAGTATGTAGCTGATACATGTAATGATAGAATTTAATATTTGAACACCTCTTTTTTTTTGCATGCCCTTAGTTGCATTTCTTGTATGTATATGTATAGATAAAATGTATAGGCAAAGCTCTGCAGCAAAAGTGACAGTGACTGAGACAAACTAAACTAATCAGGGGTGCATGTAACAATATCACATGGATACATTCTTCTGAAAACTACCAGGGGTGCATGTAACAATATCACATGGATACATCTTCCTATAAGCGATCAGGGGTGCATGTAACAATATCACATGGATATATTCTTCTAAAAACTACCAGGGGCGCATGCAACAATATCACATGGATACATCTTCCTAAACACTAACCAGGGGTGCATGTAACAATATCACATGGATACATTTTCCTAAAAAAACTACCAGGGGTGTATGTAACATTTCACATGGATACACCTTTCTAAAAACTATCAAGGGTGCAT